ACATATATGTATATATATATATATATATATATATATATATATATATATATATATATATATGTCGTACCTAGTAGCCAGAACGCACTTCTCGGCCTACTATGCAAGGCCCGATTTGCCTAATAAGCCAAGTTTTCCTGAATTAATATATTTTCTTATTTTTTTTCTTATGAAATGTGAAAGCTACCCATTTCATTATGTATGAGGTAAATTCATTTTTATTGGAGTTAAAATTAACGTAGATATATGACCGAACCTAATCAACCCTACCTAACTTAACCTAACCTATCTTTATAGGTTAGGTTAGGTTAGGTAGCAGAAAAAGTTAGGTTAGGTTAGGTTAGGTCGGTTAGGTAGTCGAAAAAAAATTAATTCATGAAAACTTGGCTTATTAGGCAAATTGTGCCTTGCATAGTATGCTGAGAAGTGCGTTCTGGCTACTAGGTACGACATATATATATATATATATATATATATATATATATATATATATATATATATATATATATATATATATATATATATATATATATATATATATATATATATATATAATATTAAATATGACCGAAAAAGTAAGATTAATAATTCTAACACGAATTTTCTCAATCTTTCGTACATTTCTTTTCACTGTTGGAGGTAAATCAAAAATCAATTCTCCAAAATTCATTTTTATTTCTAGTCTGACGCGACACGAGCGCGTTTCGTAAAACTTAATACATTTTCAAAGACTTTAGTTCACAAATACACAACTGAATAGAACTTACGCATCTCCGATTTTATATCTACATTTGAGTGAGGTGGAAGGGGTGATGTGGCATTAACACAAGACAGAACAAGATGTGGCATTAATAGGGTATTAATTTCATCAACACAAGACAGAACAAGAGTATTAATAGGGTATTAATTTCATCAACACAAGACAGAACACGAAACAATGGATATTGAATAGAAGTGTTTGTAGAAAGCCTATTGGTCCATATTTCTTGATGCTTCTATATTGGAGCGGAGTCTTGAGGTGGGTAGAATATAGTTGTGCAATAATTGGCTGTTGATTGCTGGTGTTGACTTCTTGATGTGTAGTGCCTCGCAGACATCAAGCCGCCTGCTATCACTGTATCTATCGATGATTTCTGTGTTGTTTACTAGGATTTCTCTGGCGATGGTTTGGTTGCGGGAAGAGATTATATGTTCCTTAATGGAGCCCTGTTGCTTATGCATCGTTAAACGCCTAGAAAGAGATGTTGTTGTCTTGCCTATATACTGGGTTTTTTGGAGCTTACAGTCCCCAAGAGGGCATTTGAAGGCATAGACGACGTTAGTCTCTTTTAAAGCGTTCTGTTTTGTGTCTGGAGAGTTTCTCATGAGTAGGCTGGCCGTTTTTCTGGTTTTATAGTAAATCGTCAGTTGTATCCTCTGATTTTTGTCTGTAGAGAGAACGTTTCTATTAACAATATCTTTCAGGACCCTTTCCTCCGTTTTATGAGCTGTGGAAAAGAAGTTCCTGTAAAATAGTCTAATAGGGGGTATAGGTGTTGTGTTAGTTGTCTCTTCAGAGGTTGCATGGCTTTTCACTTTCCTTCTTATGATGTCTTCGACGAAACCATTGGAGAAGCCGTTATTGACTAGGACCTGCCTTACCCTACAGAGTTCTTCGTCGATTTGCTTCCATTCTGAGCTGTAGCTGAGAGCACGGTCGACATATGCGTTAACAACACTCCTCTTGTACCTGTCTGGGCAGTCGCTGTTGGCATTTAGGCACATTCCTATGTTTGTTTCCTTAGTGTAGACTGCAGTGTGGAAACCTCCGCCCTTTTCCATGACTGTTACATCTAGAAAGGGCAGCTTCCCATCCTTTTCCATCTCGTAAGTGAAACGCAGCACGGAACTCTGCTCAAATGCCTCCTTCAGCTCCTGCAGATGTCTGACATCAGGTACCTGTGTAAAAATGTCGTCAACATACCTGCAGTGACATCAGGTACACAGGTACCTGATGTCAGACATCTGCAGGAGCTGAAGGAGGCATTTGCTTTAGCAAATGGTTAGCATGTGAAACAGTGTCTAATTACAGGTAATTAATCCTTGGTTCTTATCTAACAATATAACAATGTTTCATCTGATATAGCTGTTAAATATTAGGATTCCGGCTTTACAGCTAGTGCCCTCTGACAGGAATTATAGAAGAGGAAGCAGTACAGTTGTTTGGTATAGCAGAAAGGGGTGATGGATGCTAGCCTCTCATGAGGATTATTTGGTGTCATCATTCATGTTCATACCTGGTGGACTAGGCCTACTGTACAATAAGATAAGGCCTCATAATTTTATTACTAATATATGTAGTTTAATACTGTAGTTTGATTGGCTGCATATATATAAATTTAATATAAACCTCCCTACTGTGTAAGAATTGATTTGTGAGAATATTGCAGAAATACAGTCCACTAAACAAATTCCTATCGAAATATATAAATTAACGTAAATATATATTTATATAAATTCATATAAATTAAATAAATATAAATCTCACGAATCGGTTCCCACAAATATATAACATTAATAATTGTGTAACTAGCGTCAAAAGATTATTATTTGCTTAGCTAAACGAACTAGAGGGTTCAGTTCCTGAACCGATTATGTGCCTCTGTAATCCTTTACACCACCGCCCACGGGATGGGTATGGGGTGCATAATAAAGAAAAAAATCAAATGCATGATGAGGAAGGGTTTCTTGAGAGGTTGAGGAATGTGCTCGGGCCGCCGCCTCATCTGCCATTTTGTTTCCTCTGATTCCAACATGAGAGGGAAGCCACGGCAGGTGGTTGCCAGCCAGCGTGGTTCATGGTAATATCTGAGTCACTTTGTTTGGATGTTAGTGGCCGGAGCTTTGTGGTCTGTAAGAAGTGACAAGGAGAAGAGTGGGGCTGGAGTCTCGGAGCACCACCACCTCTCGTAGGGAAGTGACCTGGTGTATAACTTTATGAGTCTATTATTTGCATAAGTTCTGGGAGGATTTTTGTTGCTCTGTGTTGAACTTTCTATAAAACAAATATGTCCTACTAAAGATGTATCTCTATCCTTGGATACAGTAGTCCAAATGAGGGGGGGGGGCACTAGAGGCTGTACAGTTGAATAACCACTTTCTTTTTCTTGAAGTCAAAGGTTCATTTTCTGCAGTTCCTGTGGGAAGTGGTAACACACTCGCCTGGCGTTTCGCAAGCGCTTTGACCTGGGTTCGTATCCTGGCCGAGGAGGATTTACTTTTCGCCAATTCTTAACTGTAGCGCCTCTTTTCACCCAGCTGTGAATGGGTACCTGGTTGTTAAACGATTTGGCGGGTCATATTCCAGGGAAAATTGGGATTAAGGACTTCCCTGAAACGCTACGCGTGCTAATGGTTCTACAAGAATGTAAGAACTCTGGTTTATATACAAAAACAAAAATTTTATTTTTTATCGAAATGCGACGGTCTTTGTAAGAGGACAGGTTGATTTTTTTTACTGCAACTCCCATTTGTTGTACAATATTCAGTGATAGATCAAAGCTCTTGGGTCCTTTTCTTCGTCAATTTGTTATATGATAGTGTTGTTGATAAGATACACGTGATGTGCACTATTATGCCCTAAATGAAAGGTCTTGCATTTTTCAATATTGAAAAGCAATTGTCAGTCATCTGACCATTAGTGGAGCTTAACTAGATCGCTTTGTTAGGCCTCAATATCGTTTTTGCTTCCTGCTTTCCCATAGATCTTAGTGTCATATACAAATTTGGTGATGTGCGTTGTAATATTCTCATCTGTCATTGTTGTATATAACAAAAATGGTTGGCCCCAAGATAGAATCTTGCGGTACCCCATTCATCCACATTTCTGCAGTCACATTCATTTCCTTGTATTATAGGAAGAATTTAACTACATATTACAAATTATTCACCCAATGCAGTAATATTTTCTCATGAAACTAACAATGATTTTGTACTTTTAAAATGCAGAATCGGTTATAAAGGAGAGACAGAGCGTGAGGGTGAGGCAGCATCACATGTGGCACACCCTTGTGTTGGAGACCACTCAGGCGCCTCGTCGTGCAACGAGGCAGGTTTAGAACACAATGTAAAATATCGACTGAATTGGAGGATTATAAAAACTGTACCATTTAGTAATGGTACTGAAGAGAGGCCGAGGTGAAGATGCTGCGGTCGAGCTGAAGAGTCAGAGATAACAGATTATCATCCTTCAATGATAACATCAGTGGGCAATAACGCGAGTCTTGTTACATGAAGGCCATCTCAAGGACAGCGATCTGAATATTTTCATAGTTACATAAGAAATCCAGAAGATGTTAATAGTAATAATAACTATGGTTGTATGAAATGCAAAAGAACATATTACAGTAGCTTACTTGTAGACGCATATATTGATATGACTTTGCAGATTCAAGCACAGCCTTCAGCAGAAGAAAAACAAGTCTGCTAATTAAGTTTGTTGGGTGGTAGACAATGAGGTCTGTGAGTGTGTATGAGGCAGTATACACCCTGGGCCTCCTCTCAGATACGATTTACGGACCACTCATGCACGTGCCACCTCTTTTGTGGCTTAATCTTCATCAATCAATCAATCAATCAGATACCAGGACGGAGAACTACACACGCTCTCAAGCTTCTATCTAATATATCTCCGGATAATTTACTTCTATCAAATAAAGTCACGTCTCCATGTATTTCTGGCAATTGTTTCCCTTTTGTTCACTCTGTTGTCATGCATATCTTGCATATCTCCCTCGCTCAGCATCTGTGTGTGTGTGTGAATCCTTTTATGCCGCTTTATTATATATATTAATGGACGCTTTTTGATAAAGCACATGACAGCACCTCCGGAGGTCAAGGTAAATATGAGACGAGTAGAAGCAGCAGTAAATATTCCACGCCGGTAAAGCAACGTGTGGAACCATCGTTACCGTGTTTACACATATGTCAAGTTTGAGTCGCCTCGCGTCATAACCCGGAGGGCATGTTATCAGGTACTTCAGGTGGCAGCCAGCCGGCCACTCTACTCTCAGCACTCAAAGAGGAAACGTGGAGTAAAGCTTTTACCCGACGGTGAAGTCTCAGACACGTTCTCGAGGCCCAAGGGAGGCAGTTGTGGTCATTAGCGTATTGAATCCTTAACCCTCACTGTTGAAAATCAAGAACCTTCACTGTAGTTAAAGGCGCCATGTCTGGCCTTCGGTGTGTGTGCATGTTTCTTGTACTGTTTCTCGCTGCGTCAACGGTCACTGCTGCTCTCAAGCAGCCGCCCCTGCTGATCAAGGAGACCGCGGCCACCAACACACATATCCAACATCTCCTTCAGAATCTACAAGAAACGGAGACCTCAGGCACCACCACCACAGTGCCCCCAGCCACCACCACAGTGCCTCCAGCCACCACCACAGTGCCCCCAGCCACCACCACCACAGTGCCCCCAGTCACCACCACAGTACCCACTACAAACTACAGCCGGGTGACCGTAGAAGGTCTGGGGACAGCCAGAGGAACGATTTTAAAGTCATTTCTTGGACGTGATTTTTACGCCTTCATGAGCCTGCCATACGCCAAGCCTCCTGTGGGGGACTTGAGGTTCAGAGTGAGTATCAGGTGTTTCTGTCTGTTGTGTTGTCACAGGCGAGTCTTGTACCACTGTTGTAATCTCTATTCATAGATCACTGTCTCGTGTGAACGTATTTGTCAACGTTTGGACAGTCTTCATTTCCCGCCTCGGGCCCCGCCTCGGGCCCCTCGCGATTTATTATAATTGTTAAATATTTCTGCACATAATGTTACTTAATGCTTGTATTAGTGTAGAAAATGTTATCGCAGTAACCGGATGTAATGTTACACTGTACTCTGCATCCTTACACAAAGTGTGCTGCGCTGTGCAACCATCCACATGGGGGTGCTGCACTGTGCAACCTTACACGAGGGGGTTTTGACTGTGTAACTTTACTCATAAGAACATAAAGATAAAGGTAACTGCAGAAGGCTTATTGACCCATACGAGGCAGCTCCTAGTTATAACCACCCAATCCCACTCATATATATGTCCAACCCATGCTTGAAACAGTCATGGGATCCCCATCTACACTACGTTATGTGGTAATTGGTTACACAAATCATAAGCCCTGTTACCGAACCAGTATTTACCACGGTCTTTCTTAAATCTAAACTTATCTAATTTATATAAATTGTTTCGTGTTCTGTCTTGTGTTGATATTATTAATATCCTATTAATATCCGCTTTGTTATGTACATTCATCCACTTGTGCACCTCTCTCATGTCACCCCTAATTCTTCGCCTTTCTAGAGAATGTAATTTAAGCTTCGTCAATCTTTCTTTATATGACAGGTTTCTAATTTGGGGGATTAACTTTGTCATCCTACGCTGGACGCATTCAAGTGAATTTATATGCATTCTACAGTACGGCGACCAAAATTTAACTGCATAATCTAAATGGTGCCTAACCAGAGCAAGATATATCTGAAGAACAACACCAGGTGTCTTATTAGTAACGCTTCGATTAATAAATCCCAGTGTCCTATTTGCCTTATTACGAACATTTATGCATTTATTTTTTGGTTTTAAATTCTTACTAATCATAACTCCCAGATCCCTTTCGCAATCCGACTTTGCAATCTCAACACCATCTAGCTCGAATCTTGTAACACTTTCATCATTACCTAGCCTCAAAACCTTAAATTTGTCAGCATTAAACTGCATCTGCCAATCTTTTGACCATTTCAAAACCCTGTTTAGATCGTCTTGAAGTAATAGCGAGTCTTTTTCCGTGTTTATTTCCCTACCGATTTTTGTATCATCGGCAAACTTTTAAATTTTGTTGTTCAAACCTGAATCTAAATCATTCTTATATATTATGAATATCAGAGGTCCCAGGACAGAGCCTTAAGGCACTCCACTTACAACATTTTCCCACTCTGACTTAACCCCATTTATACTAACTCTTTGTTTCCTTTGGGATAGCAGTGCCCTAATCCTACTTAATATAGCACCCCCAATACCATGAGCCTCTATCTTTTTAATCAGTCTTTCATGTGGCACTGTATCGAAAGCTTTGCTTAAGACAAGGTATACAACATCACAAACCTTACCACTATCAACTGCCTCAACTATGCTGGAATAAAATGATAGCAAATTTGCTCAATATGAATAGCCATTTGTAAAACCCCTGTTGAGAATCCTTTATTAATTTATATTTTTCAAAATGAAGATGAATGATAATTGCAATTATCAATTCAAGTAACTTTCCCACAATAGACGTTAGGCTAATTGGCAAATAGTTTGACGCAAGTGATCAATCTCCTTTCTTAAAAAACTGGTACCACATTAGCAACCTACCACGACTCTGGCACTCTGTCTGACTCTAATGATTTGTTAAATATGGTTCTCAATGGCTCGCAAAGCTCCTCTTTGCATTCCCTAAGTACCCTGGCAAACACTTTGTCTGGTTCTGGGGATTTCTTTGGCTTCAGTTTCACTATTTGTTTAATAACACCCTCATTGATAACTGCTAAACTAGTCCACCTGTCCTCATCCCCACCCACATTGTCTTGTTTGCCTGAAGGCATAATGTTAAGTACCTCTCTAGTAAATACAGAGATAAAATGTTAAAAATACCACTCATCTCTTCGTCTTTATCAGTTATGTGACCTGTATCAGTTTTTAATGGACTTATCGTTTCCCTAATCTTTGTTCGATATAACTGAAAAAATTCTTTAGTATTTGTCTTTGCTTGCCCTGCTTTGGGAACTACAGCGTTTCTTTTTGCCCTCCATATCTATTTTTTAACATTTCAAACCAGTTGTACGAATACTTGTTTTAAACTGACTTCCCAATTCTTAATTCTTTTGTACCATGCTCTCTTTTTACCTATAAGGTTCTTCAGATCCTTTGTTATCCACTTTGGATCATTAGTATTCGATCTGTTCAATTTGTATGGTATACTATGTTCCTGTGCTTTGCTTATAGTATTTTTAAATAAGTTATATTTTGAATCAACATCGAAATCCCTTTTTACATCACCCATCGTTGGTTACACGTCTCGCTCCAAGACCGGCCCACCATGCCCACGACTTTCCAATCTATTTCAGCCAAAAAAAATTCTAGCCATTAAATCAGCTTTTCGAAAATCTGGAACTTTAACAGATTTTTCTCCTACACATCTATTCCAGTCTATGCTAAATCTGATTCTTTGTGATCACTGTTCCCTATCTCACTCCCTATTACGATATCATTTATTTGTGTTTCCCTGTCAGTAAACACTAAGTCTAAAATATTATTTTCCTGCTTTGGTTCTTTAATGTGATTCTTAAAAAAGCAATCATCAACTAATTCTAGAAAATCTTCTGCTTCATTATTCCCTCTTATGTTCTTCCACTTTATTCCAATAAAAAAAGTCACCCATGACACAAATACTGTTTGACCTAGATGCTCTAGATATTTCATCCCATAGATACTTTGCTTCCATTCTGTCTAAGTATGGTGGCCTGTATATAACTCCAATTATAAGATTTTTATTTTTTTCGTTTAATTCTAGATAAATAGTTTCTCTGTGTGGCTCAGTTTCGATTCCCTCTTTGAGACTACATATCAAATTTTCCCCAACATATATGCTACTCCACCTTCTCGTCTTATATATCTGTGTGAAATAGTTTGTATTCGTTTATTTCATATTTAGCTAATAGTTCCTTGTTTTCTACATTCATTCATGTTTCGGTAAGTGCAATACTATATTGTTTCCGTGCAAACAAGAGCATATAAATTGTTTAATTTGTTTCTCAGACTCTTGCTGTTCGTGTAAAATACCATAATAAAGGGGTACTGGAGTGAGCAACCTTACACAAGGAGGTCCAGGACTATATAGGATGACCCACGCCAGCCCCGTGAGGGCCCAGGATGACCCACTCCAGCCCCGTGAGGGCCCAGGATGACCCGCTCCAGCCCCGTGAGGGCCCAGGATGACCCGCTCCAGCCCCGTGAGGGCCCAGGATGACCCGCTCCAGCCCCGTGAGGGCCCAGGATGACCCGCTCCAGCCCCGTGAGGGCCCAGGATGACCCGCTCCAGACCTGTGAGGGCCCAGGATGACCCGCTCCAGCCCCGTGTGAGCCCAGGATGACCCACTCCAGCCCCTTGAGGGCCCAGGATGACCCGCTCCAGCCCCATGTGGGCCCACGATGACCCGCTCCAGCTCCGTAAGGGCCCAGAATGACCCACTCCAGACCCGTGAGGGCCCAGGATGACCCACTCCAGCCCCGTGAGGGCACAGGATGACCCGCTTCAGCCCCGTGTGGGTCCAGGATGACCCGCTCCAGCCCCGTGTGAGCACAGGATGACCCGTCTCCAGCCCCGTGAGGGCCCAGGATGACCCACTCCAGCCCCGTGAGGGCCCAGGATGACCCGCTCCAGCTCCGTAAGGGCCCAGGATGACCCGCTCCAGCCCCGTGAGGGCACAGGATGACCCGCTCCAGCCCCGTGAGGGCACAGGATGACCCGCTCCAGCCCCGTGAGGGCCCAGGATGACCCACTCCAGCCCCGTGAGGGCCCAGGATGACCCACTCCAGCCCCGTGACGGCCCAGGATGACCCACTCCAGCCCCGTGAGGGCCCAGGATGGCCCACTCCAGCCCCGTGAGGGCCCAGGATGGCCCACTCCAGCTTCGAGAAGGATCTGATCTATGTATCCCGACCCTGGTCTTAATTATAAATTACCCTGGGAAGCACTATATATCGCCAGGTTTTATCTCTTTCTAAACAGAGTACTTCTTTAAGACTATTCCTATTGTATCGACGAACCTAACAGCTTACACACCTCTCCTGTAACCATGTGTCCCCTGACATGTCCGCCCTGTCCCCCTACAGAACACTGAAGCCTGGGAGGGACGCTGGACGCAGGAGGTGGACGGGGACTACGAGGCCACCTGGCTCAGGCCCAAGTGTCCCCAGATCTCCCTGCTCTTCAGCGACGTTATATCTGGTAGCGAAGACTGCCTTCACCTTAGTATTTATACCCCGCTGGTGAGTCTTTACCCCGCTGGTGAGTCTATATATACCCGCTGGTGAGTCTATACCCCGCTGGTGAGTCTATACCCCGCTGGTGAGTCTTTACCCGCTGGTGAGTCTATACCCCGCTGGTGAGTCTTTACCCCGCTGGTGAGTCTTTACCCGCTGATGAGTCTTTACCCCGCTGGTGAGTCTATACCCCGCTGGTGAGTCTATACCCTGCTGGTGGGTCCATACTCTGCTGGTGAGTCTATACCCCGCTGGTGAGTCTTTCCCCGCTGCTGAGCCTATACCCCGCTGGTGAGTCTATACCCGCTGGTGAGTCTATACCCGCTGGTGAGTCTATACCCCGCTTATGAGGGTATACCCCGCTGGTGAGTCTATACCCTGCTGGTGGGTCCATACTCTGCTGGTGAGTCTATACCCGCTGGTAAGTCTATACCCGCTGGTGAGTCTATACCCCGCTGGTAAGTCAATACCCGCTGGTGAGTCTATACCCGCTGGTGAGTCTATACCCCGCTGGTGAGTCTATATCCGCTGGTGAGTCTATACCCCGCTGGTGAGTCTATATTCCGCTGGTGAGTCTTTACCCCGCTGGTGAGTCTATACCCGTTGGTGAGTCTATACCCACTGGTGAGTCTATATCCCGCTGGTGAGTCTTTACCCCGCTGGTAAGTCAATACCCGCTGGTGAGTCTATACCCGCTGGTGAGTCTATACCCCGCTGGTGAGTCTATACCCGCTGGTGAGTCTATACCCCGCTGGTGAGTCTATATTCCGCTGGTGAGTCTTTACCCCGCTGGTGAGTCTATACCCGTTGGTGAGTCTATACCCACTGGTGAGTCTATATCCCGCTGGTGAGTCTTTACCCCGCTGGTGAGTCTATACCCCACTGGTGAGTCTATATCCGCTGGTGAGTCTATACCCGCTGGTGAGACTATACCCCGATGGTGAGTCTATACCCGCTGGTGAGTCTATACCCGCTGGTGAGTCTATACCCCGCTGGTGAGTCTATACCCGCTGGTGAGTCTATACCCCGCTGGGAAGTCTTTACCCCGCTGGTGAGTCTATACCCGCTGGTGAGTCTATACCCGCTGGTGAGTCTATACCCCGCTGGTGAGTCTTTATCCCGCTGGTGAGTCTATACCCCGCTGGTGAGTCTATACCCCGCTTATGAGTCTATACCCCGCTGGTGAGTCTATTCCCGCTGGTGAGTCTATATCCGCTGGTGAGTCTATACCCGCTGGTGAGTCTATACCCCGCTTATGAGTCTATACCCCGCTGGTGAGTCTATATTCCGCTGGTGAGTCTATACCCCGTTGGTGAGTCTATACCCCGCTGGTGAGTCTATATTCCGCTGGTGAGTCTATACCCCGCTGGTGAGTCTATACCCCGCTGGTTAAGTCTATACCCCGCTGGTGAGTCTATACCCCGCTGGTGAGTCTATACCCTGCTGGTGGGTCCATACTCTGCTGGTGAGTCTATACCCGCTGGTGAGTCTATATTCTGCTGGTGAGTCTATACCCCGCTGATGAATCTATACCCCGCTGGTGAGTCTATACCCGCTGGTGAGTCTTTAACCCGCTGGTGAGTCTATACCCGCTGGTGAGTCTATACCCCGCTGGTGAGTCTATACCCAGCTGGTGAGTCTATACCCCGCTGGTGAGTCTATACCCTGCTGGTGAGTCTATACCCGCTGGTGAGTCTATACCCCGTTGGTGAGTCTTTACCCCGCTGGTGAGTCTATACCCTCTGATGAGCCTATACCCCGCTGGTGAGTCTATACCCGCTGGTGAGTCTATACCCCCTGGTGAGTCTATACCCGCTGGTGAGTCTATACCCCGCTTATGAGTCTATACCCGCTGGTAAGTCTATACCCGCTGGTGAGTCTATACCTGCTGGTGAGTCTATACCCCGCTGGTGAGTCTATACCCGCTGATGAGTCTATACCCACTGGTGAGTCTATATTCCGCTGGTGAGTCTTTACCCCGCTGGTGAGTCTATACCCGCTGGTGAGTCTATACCCGCTGGTGAGTCTATACCCGCTGGTGAGTCTATACCCCGCTCGTGAGTCTATACCCCGCTTATGAGTCTATACCCCGCTTATGAGTCTATACCCGCTGGTGAGACTATACCCGCTGGTGAGTCTACACCCGCTGGTGAGTCTATACGCGCTGGTGAGTCTATACCCTGCTAATGAGTCTATACCCCGCTTATGAGTCTATACCCTGCTGGTGAGTCTATACCGCTGGTGAGTCTACACCCCGCTTATGAGTCTATACCCCGCTTATGAGTCTATACCCGCTGGTGAGTCTATACCCGCTGGTGAGTCTACACCCGCTGGTGAGTCTATACCCCGCTGGTGAGTCTATACCCCGCTTATGAGTCTATACCCCGCTTATCTGTCTATACCCTGCTGGTGAGTCTATACCGCTGGTGAGACTTTACCCCGCTGATGAGTCTATACCCGCTGGTGAGTCAATACCCCGCTAATGAGTCTATACCCCGCTGGTGGGTCCATACTCTGCTGGTGAGTCTATACCCGCTGGTAAGTCTATACCCGCTGGTGAGTCTATACCCGCTGGTGAGTCTATACCCGCTGGTGAGTCTATACCCCGCTGGTGAGTCTATACCCCCTGGTGAGTCTATACCCCGCGGGTGAGTCTTTACCCCGCTCGTGAGTCTATACCCGCTGGTGAGTCTATACCCGCTGGTGAGTCTATACCCCGCTAGGGAGTATATACCCCGCTTATGAGTCTATACCCCGCTGGTGAGTCTATACCCCCTGGTGAGTCTATACCCCGCTGGTGAGTCTATACCCGCTGGTGAGTCTATACCCCGTTGGTGAGTCTTTACCCGCTGGTGAGTCTATACCCGCTGGTGAGTCTATACCCCGCTGGTGAGTCTTTACCCGCTAGAGAGTCTTTACCAGCTGGAGAGTCTATACCCGCTGGTGAGTCTATACCCCGCTGGTGAGTCTATACCCGCTGGTGAGTCTATACCCCGCTGGTGAGTCTATACCCCCTGGTGAGTCTATACCCGCTGGTGAGTCTATACCCTGCTGGTGAGTCTATACTCCGCTGGTGAGTCTATACCCGCTGGTGAGTCTATACCCCGCTGATGAATCTATACCCCGCTGGTGAGTCTTTACCCCGCTGGTGAGTCTGTACTCCGCTGGTGAGTCTATACCCTGCTGGTGAGTCTATACCCTGCTGGTGAGTCTATACCCTGCTGGTGAGTCTATACCCGCTGGTGAGACTATACCCCGCTGGTGAGTCTATACCCCGCTGGTGAGTCTATACCCCGCTGGTGAGTCTATACCCGCTGGTGAGTCTATACCCCGCTTATGAGTCTATACCCCTCTGGTGAGTCTTTACCCCTCTGGTGAGTCTATACCCCGCTGGTGAGTCTATACCCGCTGGTGAGTCTATACCCGCTGCAGAGTCTATACCCCGCTTATGAGTCTATACCCCACTGGTGAGTCTATATTCCGCTGGTGAGTCTATACCCCGCTGGTGAGTCTATACCCCGATGGTGAGTCTATATTCCGCTGGTGAGTTTATACCCTGCTGGTGAGTCTATACTCCGCTGGTGAGTCTATATTCCGCTGGTGAGTCTATACCCGCTGGTGAGTCTATACCCCGCTAATGAGTCTATACCCCCTGGTGAGTCTATACCCGGTGGTGAGTCTATACCCCGCTGATGAGTCTATACCCGCTGGTGAGTGTATACCCCGCTGGTGAGTCTATACCCTCTTATGAGTCTATACCCCGCTGATGAGTCTATACCCGCTGGTGAGTCTATACCCGCTGGTGAGTCTATACCCCGCTAGTGAGTCTTTACCCGCTGGTGAGTCTGTACCCTGCTGGTCAGTCTATACCCCGCTGGTGAGTCTTTACCCCGCTGGTGAGTCTGTACCCCGCTGGTGAGTCTATACCCGCTGGTCAGTCTATACCCCGCTGATGAGCCTATACCCCGCTGGTGAGTCTATACCCGCTAATGAGTCTATACCCCGCTATGAGTCTATACCCCCTGGTGAGTCTATACCCCGCTGGTGAGTCTATACCCCACTGGAGAGTCTATACCCCGCTGGTGAGTCTGTACCCCGCTGGTGAGTCTATACCCGCTGGTGAGTCTATACCCCGCTGGTGAGTCTATACCCGCTGGTGAGTCTATACCCGCTGGTGAGTCTATACCCCGCTGGTGAGTCTATACCCCGCTGGTGAGTCTATACCCCGCTGGTGAGTCTATATCCCGCTGGTGAGTCTATACCCCGCTGGTGAGTCTATACCCCGCTGGTGAGTCTATACCCCGCTGGTGAGTCTATACCCCGCTGGTGAGTCTATACCCGCTGGTGAGTCTATGCCCGCTGGTGAGTCTATACCCCGCTGGTGAGTCTATACCCCGCTGGTGAGTCTATACCCCGCTGGTGAGTCTATACCCCGCTGGTGAGTCTATACCCCGCTGGTGAGTCTATACCCCGGTGGTGAGTCTATACCCGCTGGTGAGTCTATACCCGCTGGTGAGTTTGGCCCCCGCTGGTGAGTCTATACCCGCTGGTGAGTCTATACCCGCTGGTGAGTCTATACCCCGCTGGTGAGTCTATACCCGCTGGTAAGTCTATACCCGCTGGTGAGTCTATACCCCGCTGGTGAGTCTATACCCGCTGGTGAGTCTATACCCCACTAATGTTTCACAATATTACATTGTTTCACTCAAGTGCATTGCTGTACTGTGGCTTATAGCAGCATAGAGTGCACTCTGGTGCATACATTACCACACAGTACACTCTGGTGCATACATTACCACACAGTGCACTCTGGTGCATACATTACCACACAGAGCACTCTGGTGCATATATTACCACACAGAGCACTCTGGTGCATACATTACCACACAGTACACTCTGGTGCATGCATTACCACACAGTGCACTCTGGTGCATACATTACCACACAGAGCACTCTGGTGCATATATTACCACACAGAGCACTCTGGTGCATACATTACCACACAG